CCCCAAAACCCCAAAACCCCAAAACCCCAAAACCCCTCTTTTAGGATAATTTTGAATTTATTGATTTTAAACAGATCCAAACTCTTCCATCCATTTTTGGTATTTTGATTGTTCGATCACATGAGTAGCAGCCTTTGTAGTTTCCAAAGCTTGCAAGAAATCATCCATTGTAACTGGCTCTGGCTGGGGAACCTTCTCAGGATCTGTGATTGGGGTCCAGTCAAAGTCATCGGTGTCTGTGTCAACATTTTCTATTCTGTCCATAAGCCTTCTAAGAGGTTTCATAGCTGCTTCTTTGCATACAAGTCTAATGTCTGATCCTGAATATCCATCCAAGAGCGCTGCAATTTCAAAATAGTCTAAGTTTTCAGATTTTGTAGGCGGCACTAGAAGATGGATAAGGGCTTTTCTTGCTTCTAATTCAGGAAGAGGAATCAAGATTCGTTTTTCAAGTCTTCTCAACAAAGCTGAGTCGAGTTCCCATGGAAGATTTGAAGCAGCAAGGAGGAATACTCTTTCATCTGTGCTTTTTATCAAGCCATCAAGTTGTATCAAAAGTTCTGTCTTCATTCTTCTTGATGCTTCATGTTCACCAGATTGAGATCTTGAGCTCATTACCGCATCAATTTCATCGATGAAAATAGTTGAGGGTTGGTAATATCTTGCTAGATCAAATAGAATTTTAACTAGTTTCTCCGAGTCTCCTCTCCATTTTGAAACAATCGTAGATGCAGAGATATTGAAGAAAGTAGTCTTACATTGTGTAGCAACTGCTTTTGCCATCATTGTTTTTCCAGTTCCTGGAGGACCAAACAATAGGATTCCCTTCCATGGCTCTAGTAGTCCTGTAAATAAATGAGGATATTTTAGTGGAAGCATTACTGCTTCTTTCATCAATTTCTTGGCAGTAGTAAGACCAATGATATCTTTAAATGATACTTCAGGATTTGATGTTATGATTTCTCTTTGAACACTTAAAGCAAGATCTTTTAATTCTCCAGCTAAGACAAACTCTGGTAAGGGAGGTAATACTCTATTTTCAAAATACTCTTCTGGTGTTTCTTCCTTAACTTCTTCTTTCTGAATTTCAATATTCTTTCCTTCTAATGAGAATTGATTTTCAACTGAAGATTTTGACTTTTTAACCTTTAGTTCTTCCTTTGAAGACTTTTGAGCCTTTGTTGATGAGCTACCACTAGCCCTAGAGGTAGATCCTTGCTTCTTAAGTGCTCCTGAAGGAGGCTTTCTATTGAGCATACTTTTCTTGACAGGATTATCTCCTGTTTTCTTGACCAGAGTAGGTTTATTTCTGAAAACGTAGTTCATAGTACTCCTCAAAGTCTTGTAAAACATAATAAAGATCCATATTATCTGCAACTTCATAGTTATCAAAGTTGATATCTATTTCTCTTTGCATGCAGGCTGCTGTATCAATATATCTATACAAAATGAGATTAACAAATCCAATTTGTAATGTAGCCACAAAGGGCAAGCTTACCCATTGTTTGCAAGATGGTTTCATATCATGACATATAAGTTCCTTTTTCTCTCTTGTACATCTCTTTTACCTTTAATACGGTTTTCACCGTCTCTTTTCATCATTTTCATACTCATCCAAATTTCAAAAAATTATTTATCATAAGGGGTTTTGGGGTTTTGGGGTTTTGGGG